CAGAGTGACACACACAGAGTGAACACAGAGAGTGAACACACAGAGTGAACACAGAGAGTGACACACACAGAGTGAACACACACTGAGTGAACACACTGAGTGAACACACAGAGTGAACACAGAGAGTGACACACACAGAGTGAACACACACTGAGTGAACACACTGAGTGAACACACAGTGAACACACAGAGTGAACACAGAGAGTGAACACAGAGTGAACACAGAGAGTGACCACACAGAGTGAACAAACACAGAGTGAACACATACTGAGTGAACACACACAGAGTGACACACACAGAGTGGCGACTGGTAAACAGTAGAGTTTCAGTTTGGAGAATCCCTGTCATTTCAACAAGACGACATTTTAACACTCCTCCACCTGCTGGTGATGAGTCCTGTTTCCCTCAAGTTTAGCTTCGTTTAGCCTGCAGCTAACACCCTGACATCATTGTGACATCATCATGACCCATAAAGGGTCTATAAGGCCAACATGTGGTCACCTCTGTGAAGACATCACAGCTAGCATTGTTGTGCATGTAGAGAATTGAAAGCATTCACAAACAGGTGACAGATGTGTTTTTAATGTGAGTGAATGCTGCCTGCCTCAGGACACTGATGTTCATTAATGTGCCTGATCTAATAAACAGATACAAATAAAAACTGAAGTTTATAGAGATGTGGGGCTGTTGGACATGTTGAACCGAGGGATTCTTCTTCATATGACAAAGGACCTTAAAAAGGTTTTTAAAAAGTTCTTTGTAACTGTATCCAGTTTAAAGAAAGTCAAGTTGGGGCGCGCTGGTGGTGCAATGGTTAGGGCACACGTCCCATGTATTGAGACTCTCGTCTCGAGCAGTAGGCCCGGGTTCACTTCCACCCGTGGCCCCTTTCCGCATGTCATTCCCCACTCTCTCTCCCTGGTTTCCAACTCTATCCACTGTCCTCTCTCTGCATTAAAGGCACAAAAAGCCCAAAATAAATCTTAAAAAAAAAAAAAAGAAAGTCAAGTTAAAGCGGTTTAAGCACAAACATTTTATATGAAACTATGCATACCCATTGGGGGGGTCGGTGATGATGGCTCGTGGGTTGACGAGATCAGTGTCTATGATGACTCGGCGTTTAGACCCGTCCAAAGAGGCCACCTCGATACGATCCTTCACAGAGTCCGTCCAGAAGAAAGTGCGTCCCAGGTGGTCGATGGCAATGCCTTCTGGGCTGTCCAAATCTGTGGAGGAGTTTCATTAGATTCTTTGCTTTATGAGCCAACTGCCACGAATCACTGCTGCTGGGGGACATGAGAACGCACAGAGTTTGCATTTCATCCTGAACCTTCTTTGAGATGTAAAAGGGGCTGATAGGGAAGAACTATTGAAGAATTGTTTCAGGAGATCGTTTCAGTAAGCAGCGAAAAAACAGCTGACTGCAACCTCTGAGGAAACTACAGGTGAGAGAGTGAAGTACTACTCCTGTCTAATCGAGGAAAGAAAGGCAATCCTAGATACCTTTTCAGCACTGTAGCCAGGCTGACAGAGAGTCATGGCTCCATTGAGCCTTGTATTCCTTTAGCCCTCACCAGTAATGATTTCCTGAGCTTTTTCAACAATAAAATTCTAGACATCAGAGACAAAATTGGTAACCTCCTGCCCTTACCTGGTGCAGATACGTCTGATACGGCAGAGACAGTTCCAGAACCAGATATTAGTCTCAACTGTTTTTCTCCAATCGACCTTTCAGAGCTATATTCCATTTTTTCTGCGTCGAAACCGTCAACCTGTCTTTTAGACCCAATCCCAACCAAGCTGTTCAAGGAAGTCTTTCCCTTAGTTAGCAACTCTATATTAGTTATGATCAATTCGTCTTTACTGGCAGGCTATGTACCACAGGCATTTAAAGTAGCGGTAATCAAACCTCTACTTAAAAAGCCTACTCTGGATTCAGGAATTCTAGCTAACTATAGGCCTATATCCAACCTTTTCTTTTATCTCGAAGATCCTGGAGAAGGTGGTAGCTAATCAGCTGTGTGACTTTCTCCATGACAACAGTTTATTTGAGGAGTTTCAGTCAGGATTTAGAGTCCACCATAGCACTGAGACTGCACTAGTTAAAGTTACAAACGATCTACTTCTAGCTTCAGACAGGGGACATCTCTCTTTGCTCGTCTTGTTAGATCTTGGTGCTGCTTTTGACACCATTGACCATCGGATCCTGTTGTACAGACTAGAACATTTGCTTGGAATTACAGGGACTGTTGAATCCTACTTATCAGACCGATCTCAGTTTGTACATGTTAATGATGAGTCCTCTATGCACACTAAAGTTTGCCATGGAGTCCCACAAGGTTCAGTGCTTGGACCAATTCTCTTTACATTATATATGCTTCCTCTGGGAAATATTATGAGGAAACACTCCATACAGTTTCATTGTTATGCAGATGATACTCAGCTTTATGTATCAATGAAGCCCGATGGCACCAGTCAGTTATGTCAGCTAGAAACGTGCCTTAAGGACGTTAGGACCTGGATGACCAGAATTTTTTTGCTACTTAACTCAGACAAGACTGAAGTTATTGTGCTAGGCCCTAAGAACCTCAGAGAGACTTTTTCTAGTGATTTGACTGTCCTTAGTGACATCAGCCTGGCATCTAGCACCACTGTTAGGAATCTAGAAGTTCTTTTTGATCAAGATATGTCTTTTAGCTTTCGCATCAGACAAATTTCAAGAACAGCCTATTTTCACCTTCGTAATATATCTAAGATCAGGAATATCCTGTTGCAAAATGATGCAGAAAAACTAGTTCATGCATTTGTTACCTCCAGATTGGATTATTGTAACTCTCTTTTGTCAGGGTGCTCTGGCAAGTCTCTAAAGACTCTTCAACTGATCCAGAATGCTGCAGCTTGTGTACTGACCAGAACCAGGAAAAGGGACCACATTACTCCTGTCTTGGCTTCTCTGCACTGGCTCCCCATACAGTCTAGAATAGAATTCAAGATCCTTCTTCTCACTTACAAAGCTCTAAATGGCCAGGCACCATCTTATCTTAAGGAGCTACTAGTGCCGTACTGTCCCTCGAGAGCGTTGCGGTCCCGGAGTGCAGGCCTGCTGTGGTGCCTACAGTCTCAAGTGTACTATGGGGGGTAAAGCCTTCAGTTATCGGGCTCCTCTCCTCTGG